AGAGATTTTAAGAACTCGGAGGTATGCCCAAGGAAGCACATGGCTGGGTCCCTGGAATCCAGAGATCTGAGATGTAGAGAGAGGCCAGGGCTCAGGAAATGACGATCCTCGACCTGCTGCCTTTGTGTCTACCTCTTCCCTGTATGCCCCAATTCTACTTGCACCACAGTGCTACCATTTCACCACACGCTCTCCCTCTTTCTGCCCACTGAAACCTTACTCTATTTCTAGCCTTGTCAGTGGGCTTTAGAGAAAAAAATTGGGGAAGAAAAGATGTTGATTGAATTGAGACTCTGTGACTACATATTACAACCAATGTAGGGTACCAGCGGAATGGCAGAAGAGAAGCGCTGAGCTCCTGAGAACACTACGTTTCCTAGGTCGTGAAATCAAGAAAGAAGTGAAGAAGGTAAAACCACACATCTCGGTTTATGCCTGAGAGACTGAGAAAAGCCTATGACCTCATTGCCTGAGATGAATCATGCCGTGCCCCCCCCCCACACTTCAGAGAAAAGAAGGCCACGGAGACCATCCTATGATCTCTCCTTTGATTCAGATATGGAAACCAAGGCTCCGAGTAGGAGTGGCTTGTCTGGGGTCACATATATATACTGTTTGTGAATGTGTAGATAAGACTGGGGGAAGGGTAACATATATGACCAACAAGAACAACATGATGTGCGTGTGTTGACACGAGACCTCTTCAAAGTTAGCAGGTGTGGGCGACAGAACAGGGTACAGTCGCTAAGCCATCCCTCTGTGCCTCACTAACTTCTTACGGCATTACGGTCACTTGATAGTTCTTAGCTGAGAGATCCTATTGGTTGGTTGGTTAGCTCCCACCTGAATCCATGAATAATCAGCTTGGTTCCCAGAGTGGCGTTGAACCCAAAGTTCTGGAGATCACGACTTCCTTCCACTAGCTGCCCACAGCTGGGATCCGAAGGCGTGAAGAGGAGAAACCGGACTTTGAGGGAGGTGCCTTGAAGGAGATTGGCATTCTGGAAGTCAGTGCAGTTTGGTTGTGGGGTAGGAGGTGCATCCCCTGGAGGAAAACAAAACAAAACGAGAAACATCCAAAGTGAGGTCAAATGTTCTTGGAAGGACGAAAGAAATGGGTTGACAGGCATGTGGTTTATTCTAAATCAGTGAGGGCAATAATCACTTATTCATTAAAGGTGGCATCACTGCTGTTACCCATATCTGTGAATATTTTTCATGGCTAAGGATAAAATACCAGAGAATATGAATGTCGCTCAACTACAGGAGACTAAATGCCATGGTGAGATGGCCACCGTTACAGGCTAAATCGAGTTTCACCTCCCAAATTTCATATGTTGAAATCCTAACACCCGATACCTCAGAGTGTGACAATATTTGGAGATAGGGGAGAGGCGATTAAAGTGAAATGATGCCACTAGCGTGGGCCCTAATCCAACATGACTTGTATACATGAAGAAATGTGGCACAGACAGAGGGAAGTCGATGTGAACACAGGGAGAGGACCCCCAAGAGGACCCCCAACTACAAGCCAAGGAGACAGGCCTGGAACAGATCCCTAAGGAATTCACAGCCCTCCGAAAGAACCAACACCACCAACCCCTGAGGTCAGACTTCCAGTCTCCATGACTGTGAGACAGCGCATTCCCATTGTTTAAACCCTGTGGCTCCTTGTGAAGGTAGCCCCAGAAAACTAGCAGAGACTTCTAAAAGAAAACCTGGACAGGATATAGGTGGTCACCTGGGTAAAACCACCACGTTGTTTACCCCTGAGAGACTGAGAAAAACCACAACCTCATTGCCTGAAATGAATCATGTTAGGTACCTCCACATTTCAGAGAAAAGAAGACCGTCCCTACAATCTCCCCTTTACCCCATCCCAGAGGATTTCAAACCCCCACTCCAGCCTAATCGCTTCTTGTCCTTACAGGCGATACAGAGCCACAACCCAGCCTTCCAGTGCCCAGCAGTGGAGAAGAGCTACACCTACCCCATAGCACCTTCTAATAGATAACTAAACTTGATTTTTTCTGGCCAAGGTCACTGAAGGGTCTTTTGAAATGCTGAACACAAAAGGTGGCATGAAACTCCTGATTCCCAGGGAGCTGCAAATCTAGCCCCATACCCAATGTCTCACATCAACTTCTGTGATGAAGGATGAAGGAGGTGTGGTCCTTGCCTCCCACATGTCCCAAGGGAGACTGGCAGAAGTAGCAGGGTGCACTGATGCTCAGAATACAGCCCCATCGTGGTGCTGTTGGCAGCTACCTAGCATGGCTGCCAAAGGATAAAGCAATTCACAGAAGCAGCTGTTCAGAAAAGAGGTGCAGACTCATTTCAGAAGAGACTGTTTGTCATCAGAGGCGGTAGACCTAGGATACTCTGCGATATGATGCTGTGAGTAAACCATGGGAACCCAATGCTTGGAGAATACCTCATGTAGCGAGGCCTTCCACAGCAGCAGAGGTTTCCCCATTACCACTTCTGAGTCCCAGACTTCATCCCCAGCCCCGACGCAGAGCTTTTCTGAGCAGCCAGGTCTGGGACACTCCTAAGATCAAGTCCACTCTGAGAGTGCAGCCCCACAGGACATGAGAGAGAAGGATGCCTGACTCTGCTGCCATATCTGCCTTCTCCATCCTTTGGCTCTTTATTTATTTTTTTGAGACAGCGTCTCGCTCTGTTGCCCTGGGTAGAGTACTATAGTGTCATCATAGCTCACAGCAACCTCAAATTCTGCCCTCAAGTGATCCTCCTGCCTCAGCCTCCTGAGTAGGGGGGACTAGAGGCACCCAACACAACACTAGCTAGTACCCCCCCCTATATTTAGTAAAGACAGGGTCTCACTCTTGCTCAGGCTGGTGTCCAGCTCCTGAACTCAAGCAAATCACCCATCCCAGCCTGCCAGAGTGCTAGGATTACAGATGTGAGCCACCATGCACAGCCTAGCCTTTGGCTCTTTAAAGAAGGAGGAAAGAATTCTGCTTGAGCACTAGCTTTAAACCATGTTAATTAATAAATCTGTTCTATTTGTCCTATAGGGAACCCTGCTCACATCAAACAGAGAATTAAGAGTCCTTTTAAATGAGCATAACATATCACAAGCAAACTTCAATAATCATCAAAGAATCAAAATCATCCAGATCAATTATCTAAATAAAATTAATAAAATTAGAAATCACTAACAAGGTTGGGGGCAATGGCTCATGCCTATAATTCCACCACCTTGGGAGGCTGAGATGGGAGGATCACTTGAGGCAGGACCCCATTTCCACAAATAAGTAGCCAGGTGTGGTGGTAGTTTCAGCTATTCAGGAGGCTGAGGTAAGAGGATAACTTGAGTCCAGGAGTTCCAGATTGCAGTGAGCTATGATCACGCTGCTGCCATCACTCCAGCCTGGGTGATGGAGTGAGACCCTGTCTCAAAAACAAAAAACCAAAACAACAACACAAAAAAATTAAAACAAATGTTATTTTAAAATACATTCCGGGGTGGCACCTGTAGTTCAGTGAGTAGGATTCCAGCCCCATATACTGAGGGTGGTGGGTTCAAACCTGACCCCAGCCAAACTGCAACAACAACAAAAAAAAGCCAGGAGTTGTTATGGGTGCCTATAGTCCCAGCTACTTGGGAGGCTGAGGCAAGAGAATCGCTTAAGCCCAAGAGCTAGAGATTGCTGTAAGCTGTGATGCCACAGCACTGTACCGAGGGTGACAAAGTTGAGACTCTGTCTTTAAAATAAATAAATAAATACATTTGGAATCCTAGGATATAAGTCTAACCTCAGCAAATTTAAAAGTGTAGAAATTATTCCTTATATCTTCTTGGACCACCATGGAATAAAAGTTGAACTCAACATCAACAGGAATCTTCATACTCAAACAAAGTCATGGATGCTAAATAATCTTAGGCTGAATGATAAGCTGGGTAAAGATGAGATTAAGAAAGAAATCACCAAATTTTTAGAACCAAATGATAATGAAGACACAAATTATCAAAACCTGTGGGGTACTGCAAAGGCAGTCTTAAGAGGGAAATTCATAGCACTGGAAGCCTTCATCAAGAAAATAGAAAGAGAGGAAGCCAACAACTTAATGGATCATCTCAAGTAACTGGAAAAGGAAGAACATTCCAACCCCAAACCCAGCAGAAGAAAAGAAATGACCAAAATTAGGGCAGAATTAAATGAAATTGAAAACAAAAGAATCATTCAGAAAATCAATGAAACAAAAAGTTGGTTTTTTGAAAAGATTAACCAAATTGATAAACCTTGGCCAACCTAATCAGAAATAGAAAAGTAAAATCTTTAATATCGTCTATCAGAAACGATAAAGGAGAGATAACAACAGACACTTCAGAAATTCAAAAAATCTTCAATAATTACTACAAAAATCTCTACTTCCAGAAATATGAAGGTCTGAAGGAAATGGTCCAATAACGGGAAGCACGCCACCTTCCTAGACTTAACCAGAAAGAATTAGAAATCTTGAATAGACCTGTATCAACCACTGAAATAGCATCAACTATACAAAATCTCCCTAAAAAGAAAAGTCTAGGACCAGATGGCTTCACATCTGAATTCTATCAAACCTTTCAAGAGGAACTAGTACCTATATTATACAACATTTTCCAAAGCATAGAAAAAGAAGGAACACTTCCCAACACATTCTATGAAGCAAATATCACCCTGATACCCAAACCAGGAAAGGATCTAACAAAGAAAGAAAATTATAGACCAATATTATTAATGAATATCGATGCAAAAATATTCAGTAAGATCTTAGTGAACAGGCTCTGCGCCTGTGGCTCAAGTGGCTAAGGCACCAGCCACATACCCGTGAGGTGGCAGGTTCAAATCCAGCCTGGACCTGCCAAACAATGACAACTGCAACCAAAAAATAGCCAGGAGTTGTGGTGGGCACCTATAGTCCCAGCTATTTGGGAGGCAGAGGCAGAAGAATCGCTTGAGCCCAGGAGTTGGAGGTTGCTGTGAGCTGTGATGCCACAGCACTCTACCCAGGGCAACAACTTGAGGCTCTGTCTCAAAAAAAAAAAAAAAAAGATCTAAGCAAACAGAATTCAACAAAATATCAAAAAAATTATACACCATGATCAAGTTGGTTTTATTCCAGAGTTACAGGGTTGGTTTGACATATGCAAATCTATAAATATAATACATCACATCAATAAAATAAAAAACAAAGACCATATGATTCTCTCAATTGGTGTAGAAAAAGCCTTCGATAATATCCAGCATTCTTTCATGATCAGAATTCTTAAGAAAATAGGCATAGAAGGGACATTTCTTAAACTAATAGAGGCCATCTACACCAAACCCACAGCCAATATCTTATTGAATGGTGTAAAATTGAAAACATTTCCACTCAGATCAGGAACAAGGCAAGGATGCCTACTGTCTCCACTGCTATTCAACATAGTAATGGAAGTCTTAGCCACCACAGTCAGGCAAGAGAAGGTGATGAAGAATATCCAAATAGGGTCAGAGGAGATCAAACTCTCACTCTTTGCTGATGATATGACCCTATACCTGGAAAATCCCAGGGACTCAACCTCAAAACTCTTAGAAGTGATCAAGGAATACAGCAGCATCTCAAGATACAAAATCAGTATTTATAAGTCAGTAGCTTTTATATATGCCAACAATAGTCAAGCTGAAAAAACAATCAAGGACTCCATTCCTTTTACAATAGTGCTAAATAAGATGAAATATCTGGCAATTTACCTAACAAAGGACATGAAAGATCTCTATAAGAAGAACTATGAAACTCTGAGAAAAGAAATAGCTGAAGATGTTAACAAATGGATAAACATACCATGCTCATGGCTGGGAAGAATCAACATTGTTAAAATGTCCATACTACCCAAAGCGATCTACAGATTTAATGCAATCCCTATTAAAGTATCATTGTCATACTTTAAAGATATGGAAAAAATAGTACTTCATTTTATATGGAATCAGAAAAAACCTCGAATAGCAAATATATTACTCAGAAATAAGAACAAATCAGGAGGTATCGCATTAC